AGCAACTGTTTGAATCTGCCCTTCATTACTCAGGGAAGGTCATAGAGGCTAGAGGTCTGTTCCCTGCAAGAAACAGGGGACAGAAAGGCTTCTGTGTCCAGGAGCCCCACAAGGTCCTGCTTGGTTTCACCTTAACCTGGAAAGTTAGCCTCTTCTAAACACTGAAGAGAAGTGGTTCACAGACTCAAACAGTTTTATAAGACAATGAAACCGGATGACAGAATACTTAGTAATCAGGCCCAAGTCACAGAGGCACAGAGCCTAACTCCAGGGACTTTCATGTCTAGGATTGAATAGATGGCTGTCACTGGAGCCTTAGAGCTTGCAACAGGGAAGATCTTAAATGTTCACACAGATTTCCAGTATGCATATACATCCTACTCATAGACAGGGTTATTGGAAATAAAGGGATATACTTACTGCAGAGAATAAGCAGGTAAAATATGGATTAAATATATTAAGTCTCCTGGAAGTACGGCAGCTTCCAGAAAAAGTGGCAATGATTCACTGTTGGGGTCAGCTTTATCTGAATCAGGTGATGTATAAGCCTATGAAATTCTCTAAAGGATCAGTGAGACATAGACTCTAAATCTATAACTTCAAAACACTCTCCATTTCCTCTGTTATAACATTTCACCATTTGGATATGTAAATATCCAATAACTTACAAGTATTTCACAGTTCCTTTTTTCCTTTTCTTTTTTTTTAGGGGCAAGTACAGAGACTTCCCATATCCCCTTGTCCTCATACTCCATAGCTTCCCCACTCTCAACATCCCTACCAGAGAGACACATTTGCTACACTTGATGAATCTACATTGACCATCATAGTCACCCAAAGTCCATCACTTGTATTAAGGTTCATTCTTGGCATTGTGTATTCTATGGGTTTGGACTGTGAAATGGAATATCTCTGGTCATATGAATAAACAAGGATGTAACATGCATCAACCTCCAAATGTGAATGAGGGCTCTCAAAAGGGAACACAATGCCTGAGGTCCAGCAGATGCTGCCATCCCCCCACAGTGACTGCTTAAGAGATGGATTAAGGGGAGAAGAGATATGTGAGAAATTTAAAAAAAAAACAAAAAACACATGGTTTGGCTCCAGATAGCTGAGGTGCATATGAAAGGAATGAATTCAGTGAGCCCAGAGGCTTGCATCTTCCCATACATAGAAGAATGCTAAATTCCTTAGCCTGATATCTGGTTTTCCTTACTTAACAATAATCTTTGATGTTCAGACTGCCTGCCCCCTTTGTTGCAAATTTGTATGTAGCCTGACTTCCCCTCCTGCCTCCTTAGAGCAGTTTTCTCAGAGTTACTAAGATGCTGTCTCCTGGGCTTGGAGTACCCAAGGGGAGAGTAAAAGAACCCAGGAGAACTTCTCTGCCCCATGGCTCCCAGTCTTGGGGTATATGGTGATGAAATTAGTTTCACAGTTGTCTCTGACCAATTGTTCTGGCTCAGAGTCCTTCCTGGTGACACAGCCAAGGTGGATTCCAGCAAGGAGGATTCTGGGAGGTTGGCAGGACATATGAAATAGAGTCTTTGCCTTTCTTTTCACCTTTCTGAGTTCTTCCAGTTGGTGGTGGCTTGTTAGTTCCACACTTCTTACCAAGACCTCCCTCTTAAATAACTAATGCAAGTCGTTACTATGGTTTCTGGCCAGGGCAGACAGTTTGGGTCTGTGTTTTCCCTAAGACATTCACCTACTGGAGGACACCTCGGTTGCTTCTACATTTTAGCATTTATGAATAAACTGCTATAGATATTTTTATAGACTAAAAAATTGTTTCTCTTCCTTCAAAATTAAAAATATAATCAAGGGTTTACTTCCAATTTGCATCCAAACCAGGTTGAAGTCACCTACTTTCTTCTACTTTGTGCTTTCCCCATAATTGCATTAGTTCCATTATTGTTAATATTAGCATATTAATTTTTCCATCCTCTATCTCTTTATTTTAAAGGATGCAAGAAAATGTAAGAAAACACTCAAATGGATCTACAAAGAAGTGTCATTACAGTACAGAGATGGCTGTTCTATGGAAACTGAACAAGTTGACTGGTAGAGATGGATGGCAATGCTTGATAGTTGCCGGGTGAAATTGTAAATTGGAAATAAGGAAAGTGGTTTGAGGGTAGTGAACTGATGATTGTAGTCCTACAGGACACACAGATGAGTGCTAGAAACAGCTTTCCTGGCTGCTTTGATTAAAAAATAAAGACTTCTTTTGGTGGGGCCGCACCATGGGGCATGTGAAATCTTAGTTCCTCAAACAGGGAATGAACTGCCGAGTCTTAACCATTGGACGACCAGGGAAGTCCCAAGATTTATGAGTAAAGAGTTAATTGAAAAATGATAAACTACACAACATACACATTAGTTGGTAGTAGGGTTGGGAGTTCTTGGTCCAGAATTTGGTCTCAGTTTAGAGAGAGTGAGATATCAGACAGGTTACAAGCAAGCTATAAAACATAGTTTGATTATGAACTTTGCATAGATACATGACCTGGAATTAAGTGTGTCCTTACAGACCAGCTCATTTGAAGAGGTGGCATCTCAGGCTGTCTGACCAAAACTATTAGCTTTGGGCCACAGGCCAGCTGTCCTTTCCCACATGCTTCTTATCTAAAGCTACCACCTTATCTTGGGTTCACAGAAAAACAAAGTGAACTACATGACTAATATTAATAATTTTGTAGTAGCCATATTAAAAAGTAAAAAGGAACAAGTAAAATTAATATTCAGATTTTGAAAATCAATTTGTCCAAAATAGTATCATTTCAACATGTAATCAATGTAAAAGATCATTAATGAGACATAAAGGTTTTATTAGGTTTTTGAAATTCACTGTGTATTTTATATGTACAGCACATCTCAGTGTGAACCAGAGGCATTTCAAGTCCTCAGCATTCTCTTGTGGATAGTGCTATGATGTTGGAAAACTCAGGGTCTATAGTACTAGTTAGAGTTTATATGGGTGCAATGGAGTGCATATATTTTTCAGTAATTAGTTTCTGGTAGGTGTCATAGTTTGGGTTCCCCAGTAGCTGACTGTGAGACAAAGATTTGAGTGGAAGTAGTTTATTTTGGAAGTGTTCCCAGGAAAACACTTGGAGGGAGTGGAGAAGTGAGACAAGGGAAGGAAGCCAATAAAAGTGTGTTAACAAGCAAGTTACCTCTCAGGCAACTGGACTCCTTCCTGCTGGGTCACCCTGGGAGACAGAATTGTTCCAACTGAAAGGCAAGGGCACTGGGGCATTTATCTACCAAGTCCCCATCCATTTCTGAAGTGAAGTGAAGTGAAGTGAAAGTCACTCAGTTGTGTCCAACTCTTTGTGATACCATGGACTCTACAGTCCACGAAATTCTCTAGGCCTGAGTACTGGAGTGGGTAGCCATTCCCTTATCCAGGGGATCTTCCCAACCCAGGGATGAAACCCAGCTCTGCCACATTGTGGGCAGATTCTTTACCAGCTGAGTCACAAGGGGAGCCCAAGATTACTGGTGTGGGTAGCCTATCCTTTCTCCAATGGATCTTCCCAACCTAGGAATCAAACCAGGGTCTCCTGCACTGCAGGAGATGGATGGGGACTTGGAGTCCAGTTGCCTGAGCAGTAACTTGCAGGAGGATTCTTTACCAACTGAACTGTCAGGGAAGCCCTCCGTCCATCTCTGGCTGAGGTTGAATCCTGGGGTTTGACCTTCCTTGCATATGACCCCAATGTGCTCCCGCAGCCAGAAAATGGTCTTTCAGCAGAGAGTTGCAGATTAACAGTGAGCTGCCTTAATTCTGGAGGAGTGTTAGAAGACACAAGCTAGAAAATGACAGCTTCTGCTCCAGCAAAAGTGTTACTGAGGTATAACTGACAATCACAAATTGTATATATTTAAGATGTACAACCTGATGACTTGATATACATTATCAAATATTCACCACAATCAAGCCAGTCAACATAGTCATCACTTTAAATCTTAATCATTTTTTTCTTTTTAATGTCGAAAATATCCAAGACCCACTCTCTTAGAAAGTTCTAAGTACACAGTATAATATTGTCATCTGTAGCCACATGGCTATATACCAGTTCTACAGAAATTATTCATCTTACATAACTGAAGATAAAAGCCATTATTAATAACACCATTCTTAGCCAAAGTACATGGGAAATTATCAAATAATAACAAGATGATCTTATTAGAAGCACCACAGATTTTGATCTTTCTTCACTGAGGATGGAAGGAAAGAGAAGCTGCTGGGCTGGTAAGATGGTTACACAAATAAAGATTTATAAGTGGGAGTCCAAGATTTTATTCATTCAGTCCTACAGTCATCCAAACAGTGTGTTGTAAGCACTTTCCATGCACATTGTCAACCTGCCAGTGAGACAACCATACTGGACTTGAGTGCCAATCAAGATTCATCATTTACTGATTTGAAGACCTTGGACATGTGCTATCCTTAAGCCTCATTTTTCTCATCCATAAAAGAGGAATAATAATACCTTCTTGAGTAGGGTATTGTTAGAGTTAAAAGTGAGGTAAGATTCCTGGAAATGCACATAACCTTGTTTTCTGTAACATATACCACTGTTATTCTGCTAGACCCTGAGTTCAAGATGAAAGAAATCATATCAGTCTCTCTCTCCCCATATTCCCCTTTCCCAGTCTAAGAGGGAAGCAAAACACTCTCAGAGGTCCCTACACAGTCCAACATGTAAGATGAAAAAGGCCTGTTCCCAATGACAGCATTGAGTCATCTTCCAAAATCATTTGAACTTTTCTAATCTTCTGTTACTTTTCTTTAGGTCTTTGTAGCTCTACAAACAGAATCTGTGCTAAACTCTGTTGCTGCCTGAGGTCAAATGCTTGGCCATAGGTTGTGTTGTTGAACCCAAGTTCCTGTGCCCAAGACACAGTGGTGCCAAAGACACTGAAACGTTGGAGTTCCAAGCAGAGAAAGGTTTATCGCAAGGGCCAAGCCAGGAGAAAAGGGGCCCATGCTCAAAAACCCAACCCCCCCCAGTAAATTTCAGGGGAGAGTTTTCAAAGGCAAGGTGAGGGAGAGTCCAGGGTACTAAGTTGAGAATTCTGATTTATTTGGCAGACTCGCTGAGGATTTAAGCCCAGAAGACAGCCTCTCAATAGCTCTGAGGGGCTGCTCTGAAGAGGGAAGAGCCAGGACAAAAAGGATTTTTTGCAAAAACTGGTAGTCAGAATATCAAAAGAAAATCAGACAGGACTTCCCTGGTGGCACAGTGGATAGGAATCCACCTGCCAATGCAGGAGACTCGGGTTCAATCTCTGGTTCAGGAAGATTCCACATGCTGCACCACAACTAAACCTGTGAACCACAACTAATGGGCCCCTGTTCCACAGCTAGTGAAGCCTGCGAGCCCTAGAGCTGATGCTCTGTAACAAGAGAAGCTGCCACAATGAGAAGCCCTCCTGCTGCTGCAAAGAGTAGCCCCACCTCCACCCTCACCCACCCACCACTGCTCATTACAATTAGACAAAGCCCATGCAAAGCAAAGAAGACCCAGTGCAGACAAAAACAAGACAAACCTTAATCATAAAGAAGATATTCAAAAATAATAAAGAAAACCAGACATCTCAAGTTAGTGGATTCAGTGCTTTTCTAAACATTGGAAGATGCAAGATTCTGGGCTTAATGAAATCATTCCTTTGATGTACACCTTAACTATTAGGGATAGTATCAATATCCTGTTTTCCTCCATCCTGAAGCCCCTCAAGGTGCACATTTGGGGGTGGCTGCAGTGGCTGATGCTTGGATGGCCTTGACATCTTTTGTTTACTGATATGGCCAGGTGCCATTCTTCACCCACACTACAGCGATCAGCTCATACAGTATTCCCTGGTTGATGGTGAGATAATAGGATAGTGTCATGGGGCTTGACATCATCAATCCTTTGTCTGCTCATGGTCATCATGCAGTTAACCCCCTCCATCTGATGGTAGTTTTAGTATCTGCTTCCCAGGTGGTGCTAGTGGTAAAGAATTTGCCTGCCAAAGTAGGAGATACAGGAGACCCAGGTTTGATCCCTGAATTGGGAAGATCCCCTGGAGTAGGAAATGGCAACCCACTCCAGTATTCTTGACTGGATAATCCCATGATCAGAGGAGCCTGGGGGGCTACAGTCCATGGGGTAGGAAGAGCCAGACGGGACTAAATACACAAACAACAACACGAGAATATGCTCAGACACTGTTATTTGTGCCCTTCTGGGAGGAACTAACGATTCTATGACTGCTATATGGCTGATCTATTCTTTAAATTTTGTCACTATACTTCACAATCTTTCAATCACCAGCCTTCTGTGACTCAGGGGAGGCCTGGGAGATTAAAGTTTTTCTATGAACAAGAGGCTTGGGGAGCAGGGTGGTCTGTCCCAAGAAGTTCCTGTAAGATTGCTGTGCTGTGCTTAGTCGCTCAGTCGCCCAGTCGTGTCGGACTGTTTGCCACCTCATGGACTATAGCCCGCCAGGCTCCTCTGTCCATGGGGATTCTCCAGGCAAGAATACTGGAGTGCGTTGCCATGTCCTCGTCCAGGGGATCTTCCCAATCCAGGGATCAAACACAGGTCTCCCACATTGCAGGCGGATTCTTCACCGTCTGAGTCACCAGGGAAGCCCTGAGAAGTTCCTAGAGGTTTAGGTTTCTTTAAAATTGGTGAATCTGCCACAACACCCTGTTTGGTCCAGGTAAGGGCAGAATGCCCAGAAGGCGGGCTAGTATTGCTCTCTGCCAGCTTTCTCCAGGTCTCCCCTGCAGCCCAGTGTGCATTAATGAGCAACAAAGGCTAACACAGCCCCCCAAGCCCCAACCTCCCCCCACTCCCCACCCCCCACCCCGACTCCCTCCCTCTCCCCCCACTCTCATCCTTCTAGGTGAGTGCCAGGGCTCAGAGCATGCACTTAGTACAGTTCGCAGCTGAGTACCCAGGGGCCGCGGAGTACAGCGTTTGCCCTTGTCTTTCCACCCGCCTCTTTAAACTGCCCCAGGACTTTGTAACTAACTTCCTACCTGCTTGTGGCTCCCAGCAGAGTCCGACTGGTCGCCCGGAGTCCCGCCGTCGCCGCACCCACCGCAGAGCTCCTGGCTCCAGGTAGCTACTGCAGCCGCGCGTAGAGGGCGCCCCCAGGTGACTCGGGAGGCGGCTCCGGGGCGGGCTTCCTGCGCTTTCCTCTCCAAAGCAGGGGGTTCTCTACTCCCGCGGAGCAGACCAACGCCGTGGCAGGGACTCCAGCATTCTCCCCGGCGCCGCCTGGAGCAGCGCAAACCCTCCCTGCACTGTCAATGCTGCGCGTGCCCCGGGAGGTGAAGGCGAAGCCGCTGCCGGCGCTGATGAGCGCCTGGCCCGCGCCTGCTGCCCCCAGCGCCTTTCACACGGAAAGGGCCGAGGGTGCGGTGAGCGAGCGCTCTCCATTGGCGCTGGACTTTTTGCATGGCTTAGTGCTGCCCCAGGCAGCCTGCCCCAGGCAGGCTGTGTGGTCCCAGCCGGCGCCCTGGAACACGGGGGAAGGGGGAACCGGGCCGAGAATGGAGAACAGGGGCCCTGGTGGCCGGGGGTACAGGGTCTTCTTGTCTTGTCGGTTGCCGCCCCTCCAGCACGCAAGTGCAGCAGGAGAAGGAGGCAGAGAGACAGCCCAAGGGGACTCACTGCCCAGCGGGAGAACAGACTGGACCTCCCACGCTCCACTTTTAGCTGACTTCCCCGTTGTAGGTGTCAAGTTCCTTCAGTCGTGTCCAACTGCATACCACCCTATGGACTGTAGCCCGCCAGGCTCCTCTGTTCATGAAATTCTCCAGGCAAGAATATTGGAGTGGGTTGCTATGCCCTGCTCTAGGGGATGTTCCCAACTCAGGGATTGAGCCGGCGTCCATTATGTCTCCTGCACTGGCAGCAGTGTCTTTTTTTTTTTTTTTTTTTTAGTTGGAGGCTAATTACTTTACAATATTGTAGTGGTTTTTGACAAACATTGACATGAATCAGCCATGGATTTACATGTGTTCCCCATCCTGAATCCCCCTCTCTCTTCCCTCTCCATCCCATCCCTCTGAGTCTTCCCAGTGCACCAGCCCTGAGCACTTCTCTCTTGCATCCAACCTGGCCTGGCGATCTGTTTCACCCGTGATAGTATACTTGTTTCAATGCTATTCTCTCAGGACATCCCACCCTCGCCTTCTCCCACAGAGTCCAAAAGTCTGTTCTGTACATCTGTGTCTCTTTTTCTGTTTTGCATATAGGGTTATTGTTACCATCTTTTAAAATTCCATATATATGTGTTAGTATACTGTATTGGTGTTTATCTTTCTGGCTTACTTCACTCTGTATAATGGGCTCGTTTCATCCACCTCATTAGAACTGATTCAAATGTATTCTTTTTAATGGTTGAGTAATATTCCATGGTGTATATGTACCATAGCTTCCTTATCCATTCATCTGCTGATGGGCATCTAGGTTGCTTCCATGTCCTGGCTATTATAAACAGTGCTGTGATGAACATTGGTGTGCACGTGTCTTTTTCAGATCTAGTTTCCTTGGTGTGTATGCCCAGGAGTGGGATTGCTGGGCCATATGGCAGTTCTTTTTCCAATTTTTTAAGGAATCTCCACACTATTCTCCATAGTGGCTGTACTAGTTTGCATTCCCACCAACAATGTAAGAGGGTTCCCTTTTCTCCACACCCTCTCCAGCATTTATTGCTTGTAGACTTTTGGATAGCAGCCATCCTGACTGGCATGTAATGATACCTCATTGTGGTTTTGATTTGCATTTCTCTGATAATGAGTGATGTTGAGCATCTTTTCATGTGTTTGTTAGCCATCTGTATGTCTCCTTTGGAGAAATGTCTGTTTAGATCTTTGGCCCATTTTTTGATTGGGTCATTTATTTTTCTGGAGTTGAGCTGCAGGAGTTGCTTGTATATTTTTGAGATTAATCCTTTGTCTGTTTCTTCATTTGCTATTATTTTCTCCCATTCTGAAGGCTGTCTTTTCACCTTGCTTATAGTTTCCTTTGTTGTGCAAAAGCTTTTAAGTTTCATTAGGTCCCATTTGTTTATTTTTGCTTTTATTTCCAATATTCTGGGAGGTGGATCATAGAGTATCCTGCTGTGATTTATGTTGGAGAGTGTTTTACCTATGTTTTCCTCTAGGAATTTTACAGTTTCTGGTCTTACATTTAGATCTTTAATCCATTTTGAGTTTATTTTTGTGTATGGTGTTAGAAAGTGTTCTAGTTTCATTCTTTTACAAGTGGTTGACCAGTTTACCCAGCAGGGTCTTTACTACTAGCGCCACCACAATCCCTTTTACCGGTCAGGAATTCTAACTTCTGAACTTCTATCTAATTATTGCCCTGGACTATGGCCATCTTCTCAGAATGTCATCTTTTCCAATATTCCTTAAGGAACAGCTGTGTTCCAATTCCTCCAGGCTCCTTCTCTCTCTGTCTCTATGACCATCTCTCCCTTCCTCTCTCCCTGTGCGTTTTTCATCTTAGGGAACCTAGTTGTGGCAAATTTCATGTGGGTAAAAAAATTATTGTTTTTTATTTAGTGAATGGGGACACTATTCTTCAGCACATTTTGCATCTCCTTGGGACACAGACAGGACTGCAGTACCGATTTGACTAGGCTTTTTCCCTGTTGCAACTATTTCTACTTCCACCTTTTGAGGACTATTCCAGGTATGCGGTTCCAGAAGCCACGGGTTCTTTTTTAGTTGGAGAATTTATTAGCTTTGGTTTCTACCCTACAATGCAAATCCATATAGCGTCTCTCTTGAGCTTCTCTCCCATCCCACCCTTCTAGGTCATCACAGAGCACCCTGTGTTATACAGAAGGTTTCCACTAGTTATCTATTTTACATATGGTAAATGTGTACCGCTCAGACAGTAAGAATGTCTCCAACGCAGGAGATCCAGGTTCAATCTCTAGGTAGGGAAGATCCCATGGAGAAGGAAATGGCAACCACTCTAGAATCTTCCCTGGAGAATTCTGTGGATAGAGGAGCCTGGCAGGCTACAGTCCATGGGGTTGCAAAGAGTTGGACACGACTAAGCAACTAACACACACACACATGCATACACACAGTGTGCATATATCAATACTCCTTTCTCAATTTGTCCTAACCTCTCCTTCCCTGCTGTGTCCACAAGTCCATTCTCTACATCTGTGTTTCCATCCCTGCCCTGCAAATAGGTTCATCAGTACTATTGTTCTAGATTCCATATTGCCTTAATATATGATATTTGCTTTTCTCTGACTTTCTTCACTCTGTATAACAGGCTCTACATCCACCTCATTACAACAGACTTAAATTCATTCCTTTTCTATGACCGAGTAGTATTCCATTCCATGTATGTACCATGTCTTCTTTATCCATTCATCTGTCAATGGACATCTAGGTTGCTTCCATGTCCTGGCTACTGTAAATAGTACTGCGATGAACACTGAGGCATATGTGTCTTTTTTAATTGTGGCTTTCTCAGGGTACATGCTCAGTAGTGGTGTTGCTGGATCAGATGGTAGTTTTAGTCTTAGTTTGTTAAGGAATCACCATTCTGTTCTCCACAGTGGTTGTATCAATTTACATTCCTACCAAAAGTGCAGTTGTTATTGTTCAGTCACTCAGTCATGTCCAACACTTTGCAACTCCATGGACTGCAGCATGCCAGGCTTCCCTGTCCTTCACTATCTCCTGGAGTTTGCACAAACTCATGTTCACTGAGTCAGTGAAACCATCCAACTATCTCATTCTCTTTCACTCCCTTCTGCTCCTGCCCTCAATCTTTCCCACCATCAGGGTCTTTTCCAATGAGTCAGCTCTTTGCCTCAGGTGGCCAAAGTATTGGAGCTTCAGCTTCAGCATCAGTCCTTCCAATAAATATTCAGGGTTGATTTCCTTTAGAGTTGACTGGTTTGATATCTGTGCAGTCCAAGGAATTCTCAAGAGTCTTCTCCAGCACCACATTTCAAAAGCATCAATTCTTCAGTGCTCAGCCTTCTTTATGGTCGAAGTCTCACATCTATACATGACTACTGGAAAAACCATAGCTCTGACTAGACAGACCTTTGTTGGCAAAGTGATGTCTCTGCTTTTTAATATGCTGACTAGGTTTGTCATCTTTTCTTCCAAGAATCAAGTATCTTTTAATTTCATGGCTGCAGTCCCCATCTGCATTGATTTTGGAGCCCAAGAAAATAAAATCTGCCACCGTTTCTACTTTTTCCCCATCTATTTGCCATGAAGTGATGGAACCAGATGTCATGATCTAATTTTTTTGAATGCTGAGCTTTAAGCCAGATTTTTCACTCTCCTCTTTCATCCTCATCAAGAGGCTCTTTAATTCCTGTTTGATTTCTGCAATTAGGGTGAAGTCCTCTGCATAACTGAGGTTACTGATATTTCTCCTGGCAATGTTGATTCCAGAGATCATACTAATGAGTATTCCCTGGGACATCCACCATCAGTGTCCTTGCCCTCACAGTGAGTGGTTTTTCCCCTCTGCTTTATCCTGTTTCTTCCTCTTGATTTCACAAGTCTTGATCCCAAGGCCATCCCTAATAACAATCCCAACACTAAACTCCATCTGGGTCTATATTCCAGAGAACCAACCTGCAACATGTATCAAAACACATTCCACTGTTTGGGGAAGATTTTTATTTGAAAATTAATGTTATACACATAATTAAAACATTTCCAAATCCCCAAACAGAATACAAAATTGTAGAAACAATTAGTTAACAAAATTAAAACAGTTATAATTTATGGGGCCAGTTCAAAATGGAAAGAGCAAGGTCCCTCTTTTAAAAATTATTTCAAGGTGGTGACAATAGGACATTAAACCACATACAGTTTAGTGTAATAAAGGAGAGGCCATTAGGATATTACATAAATATGTGTTACCAAGGATAATAATTGATCTTAAGGTGGCTTTCCAAAGAGGTGAAAACTGGATTGACACTATAGAATAAGGTTATCTCCCCTACACAGACCTTCTGTTTTTTAGACTGCAGGGTATTGAGGATAATCACTTAGTCATTTTTTTTTTTCCACTTAGTCATTTTGACTTAAACATTTAGTCACTGAGAGTTTTCTGTCATAGTACATCCTAATCATTTACCTTTGGAGCAGTGACACATACTGTGTCAGACATGGAGATGTGCTGTCCAGAACTCCCTTCAAGGACTTGTTGCCCCAACTTCTGAAAGTGATACTAGTAGACAGCTGTAAGCCACCAGTCCTTCTAGGGGCAACCTAAATGCAATGACCTATCAAAGTGGAGGTGTAAATTTTGGCCATTGGATGTGTCAGGAGAACCCTGAAGGGCCATCTTCATCTAGAGCCCCTGTGGGGTCAGTAAGATCACATCTGGCCAGTGATCAAGCTTGAATTTTTCC